CCCGGCACTGTGCTGCTGTACCGACAACCAACATATTAATGATTAACTGGGTTAGAGCAATAATACTGGCACATATGGTTTTGAAGAATACAGATTCAAAATGCATACATGAATTTCAATGACACGGGTTGAGCAATGACCAAAGTAGATACTGTATATTAATCCACAATAATGCACATGTGAACATAGTTCCAGGTAGTGTGTCAGGTTCCCATATACAGTATGCCACATTCTTCTGTTTTATAAAAGTTTTGGATAATATTCTGGTATCTGAAGTCAAGATTTCTAAGAAATCTTGACTTCATTATATACTGCAGTTATAATTGCAAGTGAATTTGTTTTTCATTTTTTGCAGCCTCAGAGACCCAACCTTTCTATTCTTATATACAGTACTGTACTTTTAAAGCTTGATTTGTACATTTTTTACAGGTTCATAACCCCTACCCCCCACACATAAATCAAGGCTGCCTGTCAGTTAAAGTGCATAGTACAACCCAAACGTGAACGTGGCAACATTGGCCCAGGACACGATGGAAGTTTCTGCTGGGAAGATAGGCCAGGCTATGGCACATTCTTCTTGATGGTATAAGATTGTCTTGCTGAAGCTACTTCTAGAGCATTTCTACATAACAGCATAGCACAGACAAGAAATAATTCAATATATTTTTACATAAAGAGATCAAGACCATCTATGAATTTATTGATGTCCACTTCAAGATTCTTGTGGTGAGGTTTCTTTTGATTGCAATGTTACCAATAGTTGTTATTATTCACAACAGAATGTTGCAGTTCCAGCCTTAGCAGCTCTCTGATGGTAAGACTTGCTTTCTAAGAATGGTGTAGCTCCTGTTTATAGTCTATTTTAGTTTCAGTCAGACCCAGTTGATAAACTAAATGCCATTGATTATCACCATTTAATTCACTTCAAATTGCCTAAAGTCACAACATGTCTTTGGCTTTAAATCCTGATACATATTTCTCTTCTGGGGAGATAAAAGTTATTACAGCATTTGCTTCTAATAAAGAAGTGTTTCATTCACACTAAAGAGTTCAGAAAGATGCTCTTCTTAGATCAAAGTTTGCCTTGTTTGGGACAAGAAATTCGATCAATGCTTGGTAGTCAGCACTCACTGCCTTACCATTCACTTTTGTGCTGTAAATGTTGATGCAAAGCTTAAGACATCTCACACAAACCATAGTCACACTAAACCTTTGTTATTGATTCTTTGCCTTATTCTTACAGGTGGTTAAAGATGTTCTTTGCCTCTTTGTATGATGCTAAATTAGACTCAAAAGTCATATGGCACCAATTCCAATCCTTTACACACATGCCCAAGTCACTCCATCTTATCACACTAAATTGCTCTTGAACTTGCTTGTGCTGTTATACTTTGTAAAATAGTTAATCTTTTTTTGTCACGCTGTATATATGTTCAAATTACATGGATATAATGCACAAACTTGTAAAGTTGGTATCTGAGTATAGGAAAACTAATGTTTTCCTGCATCAGATGTCAAGGAGAAACTTCACATTTGGTTTATCTAAAATCCTCCCACTACATCCCAAATCCCAAATGGATACAGCATTTAATAAAATCAACAAAAATTTCAGCCATATGGGTCCTCATTCTCAATTGGTCAAGCCATAGCCTACCTATGCCGACGACGAGTCACAATAACATGGCATCATGCTATGCATGTCATCATCATGGTTTCTTCATCATATGATGATGAAACCACACCACCTGAAGGTGAAGAGACGACGACGTTTTGGTCTGTCCTGGACCATTATCGACTTGATAATGGTCTAGAACATACCTAAACGACGTCGTCTCATCTTCTGGAGAGTGGTTTGGTCATCACAGCCTACCTATTTAACAAAGCATGTTTCATACATTTGTACTCTTGAGACAGCCCACATCCAGCAGTGAATAAAATGGAATGGAGCAGATGATGTGCACCTCATTAGGTCAGTCAAGCAGCAATGGGTCTAGCCAGCACGGAATGGGTAACTGTGTGGGTAGCCTCACTCTTGGCTAGGGAGACTACATAATAATTAGGGAGCCTCAAACAGGCTTCCAAACCCAAACAATGGTATATCAGTACAGCGCACTAATTCCAAAAAACTTTACACTTCATGTTAGCAAAACAAAAATTTAGAGATTCTTAAATACTATACTGTACTTAAAATATAGTTCAGGTTTCCATTGGCACTCATATAATCTTAAAAGAATTAATGATCATTTAAGGAATTACATCCTTCCTAAACAAACAAGGCATATATCAATAAATTCCTGCCCATGAGTGTTTAAGGCATTCAGCCATTTACAGTACACTAACTTTCTCAACGATCTACTGTTTCACAGAGTATACAATGTGGTGAGAAACTGGTACAGCTGATGGCTGTTACACACTAAAGAACAACCGTAATACTCCAACAATACACAATAGTACGTAATACAATAGTACTCCAACATGCACACCACACATCGGTATCCAAGTGGCTATACAATTCTCATTTCTGAAATGCTGCACTGATAATCACAAGCATATGAGCACCTTGGTGATTCACATACTCTAACTATCTGCTATGATTATCTTGAGATTATCTTGAGATGATTTCGGGGCTTTTTAGTGTCCCTGCGGCCCGGTCTTCGACCAGGCCTCCACCCCCAAGAAGCAGCCCGTGACAGCTGACTAACACCCAGGTACTTATTTTACTGCTAGGTAACAAGGGAATAGGGCGAAAGAAACTCTGCCCATTGTTTCTCGCCGGCGGTCGGGATCGAATCTGGGTTCACAGGATCACAAGTCCAGCGTGCTGTCCGCTCGGCCGACCTCCTCCTAGGTGATCCCTCCAAATTTAATCCAGTTCAAGCTAGCCTAGATGTGTTTCAATTGCACGAGGGCAACTGAAACAAGGTGTAGAGATTATTACCGGGACTGCAATGATTACAGGCTGATGTGGCAAATAGACTGTTCAAGCAGCAAAAGCCTGTGTATTGATCACAGGCTAGTGTAGTGGGTAGTGAAAGTAATGGTGAATGTCTTTAACTGTTTAGTTGGTTGTGGATATGGTTGTAAATAGTGGATTGTAATTGTGGTGGATGTGGTTTAACACTTTGTGGTAAAATTAGTGGCGGTTGTGATTGTACTGGTGGTACTTGTGGCCTGTGTGGGTGGGTGGTACTCGTGGCCTGTGTGGGTGGGTGGTACTCGTGGCCTGTGTGGGTGGGTGGTACTCGTGGCCTGTGCTAGTGGGTGGTACTTATGGCCTGTGTTGATGGGTGGTACATGTTTCCATGCTGATGGTACATTGCAGTTACGGTGTTTAGAGGGATGATTAGTTTCTGTAGTGGATGTGGTTGTATCTTTATGGTGGATGATAAATTTAGATGTGTCTGTAGGTGTGGTGGATGTGGTTGTGCTTGTAGTTGTGGTATTTCACAAGTGTTGACTAAGGAGACTAGGGGTAAGGTGTGACATGATGTATGGGCCTGTTTTGTGCTGCAGTAAACACGGAACAAAGAACCACTAGGTGCCCAGTCAGCCAGGCATGAAGAGGGAGGGAATTTTCAGGGGGAAAGTGCCAAGCCATTACGACTATATAGCACTTGAATGGGGTCAGGATAAGAATTTGGGATGGGACAGGAGGAAGGAATGGTGCCCAACCATTCGGACGGTCGAGGATGGAATGCCGACCTGCATGAAGCGAGACCGTTGCTCTACCGTCCAGCCCAAGTAGTTGGGCTGGACCCAACTACAAGGCATGAGGAGTGATACAACAAATACCAGTAACAGATTTTGATCAACAAAACATACTAAACAAAGATATATAATAAATTAAAAATCAAAAGCATAAAATATGATTAGGGAGATCTAGCAATTTCAGACTGATAAAAACTCATGTTAGAGAAAGTTCCTCATTTACCATATATGACTCAGTGTAAAACTGGCCTGAAATGGACTTTGTCCTGGATGATCCTAGTAGACAAGAACTCCACAATCGACTTGATAATGGTCTATGACGGACCGAAATGTCGTTGTCTCTTTAATTTCTAGTGTGGTTTGGTCAACAAGAACTGCAAGCCTATATGGTATGATGTTCTATTGGTATTTTGTTATTTGTAAAGATGCATGCCTTAACCCATGGATCATGTGCTAAAATTATACAACCCAAATCTGGCCAAATCTACTAAGAGTCTAGAGGTACGGAGCTGGTATCCAAGTTTTATATATAACCCGAATACACTCTGGTGTACAGTACCGTAGGCAACGGAGTCCTCCACGATACACTCCCTTCCAATACACAACGAGATCACAATAATATGACATATCAAAGAAAATCTTCGGAGCATGGCGATGATCAAATCAGCATCCTGGGTAACTCCCCCCAGACTGCATAATCTTTAACATATTGTGTTCCATGGTTTAAAGAGCACACCTGGGGTTAACCCGGACACTGCTTCAATACCCATCCTGTTCTAGGGTTTTATTAATACATTTATCCATTATTATGATTTCATGTGGATTTGAAGGGTGCATTTGGTGGAGGACTCCATTACCTACACCAGAGTATGCAGGTTATATGTAAAACTTGGATTGGCTGCCAGCTCAGTGCCTTCAGACTCTTAATGGATTCAGGTAAATCCCAGATTGTATAATCTTCAGCATATCGTGATCTGTGCATTAAGGCGTACATCTGGGGGTTAACCAGGATGCTACTTTAATCTCTATTTTGCTCCAAAGATTTTCTGATAGATATAACATGTTACTGTGTTTTCATTATTCATTTTCAATATATCATCAAGTCCCTCCAAGGACTGTGTTAAAAGTTACAAAAATCTTGCCCAATAACATTAGGGACCTGATGGCATTCTGACAAGTTTTAGTTTCAATTCAGTACGTGAATATATCCAAAACTGATATATATAACATTCAATACTGCAGTTATTACCATGTTTAATATAAAAATAAACTCCCTTCAGTAATACAATAACTAACAAATTATTCTGTTTATTCAATGAATGGACTAGTAAGCAAACACACAAAGTAGTTTGTTTAAGAAGCAGTGTCATACATATACTGTATTGTAATTACAAACAATTTACATAGAAGACAAAAATCTTTAATAATACAAGCAAGTTTTGCTTACCTTATGTAAAAAATGTAGCAATGCTCTTTCTGAGTACAGGAATCTTGCTCTATCTTTTTGTGGCCCATTATCATTTTTTTAATAATTTAACAATGCACAAAAGCTAACAAAGGCACAAGCATCCTCATATGTATACATTTTCTAATCCATATATGTATGTCAGAATGGATAGGAAATGGAAACGAACCTAATAAATGAACATTATTTTAAGAAAATGTGTTATCATTTTCCCCTTTACAAGCTTATAATTAGTTTAAAAATAAATACACAATAGAACACTTATGTATATGCATCTAAACTTAACTTCTTTCTACTTTTTCATTACTGCAAGAAATGTGCCAGTTCAATGCAATTAATTGTCAAGTTCTAATTTGAAAATAATTTCCCAGTTTCTTTTAGAGCCGTTTTCGACAGCCACTTTGAAACCTCCTCCTGTGCAGCAAACAGCAATACACTTACCTGAAAAACAAAACATGCACCAATTAGTCATAATAAAACTAACTTTTCTCTGGCAAAAGTAGCAGTACAATAGCACCGCACAAAGTGGTAATATTGAGTACATTTCCATAAGTATATCTTTCATGTACACCTGTGCATCATCGTGCAATGTAACGTTCATAATTGGCTATATTTATATAACATACATCTCTAACAATGCAGGAATTATAGACTGTAATGATAGAAATGTACAAAATTACTCGCCCATAAAGTGGGGAGAGGACGAGAAGTTGTGCATCAAGTACTAACAGTACAAGGAATACGAGTACAAAATGTACATGAAATATAATGAGTTCGATATGATACTGGGAAGATAGTATATTTAGGCTGGTGTAATGAGGACAGGCTCATTTAAATGGGAATGGTAAGTGCAGGTAGAGATAGACACCTACTAGCCTAATACCTACCACATTATTTTGTTTAACTATCGTTATTTTCAAGTCCTTTGTCAATTTTCCTTTTAGTGCCTTTATCCCACTTATTGACAATCTGTACAGGGTGCATTTATCTACATTTAATTATTTTTTACCTTATTACATTACCTATTTTTTACAGTATCAATATCTGAAAATTTTTAACGTATCCTTTGATACTTTTTTTTACACCAGTACATTCAATTCTAGCATCTGACAAAAACTATGAAGTATTTGTAACTATCAATTTATAAGACAAGTGCGCCTTTTAATCTCATTTTATTTTTCACAGACTGTTTTTGCCCATCTTGCCAATTACCCTCAGTATCTGTTCTGAATATTAAGACTAAGTTTGTCCTTTCCAGAACTTTGCAAGATCTGTCTTGGGTGTTTATTTAAAATTATATTTAATGGATTACAAAATATCTCTGTAGCCTCCAGCAGTCATGGTTATATTAAGTTTGATCCAGTTGATTTCACCTCATTCGTTTCTACAGGTGTATTTTTTTTTTTACCTCTTTTACAGTGAGTACATGTCATTTAGTGATTCTTCTGCCCACCTTTCATCTTGCAACCTTGGTCTCCACACTTGGTCTTATGTGAAGACCTCCTGATATCATTGTTGAAATCAATGCCCCTTGTCATTTTCTGAGAATTTGTTGTCTTCTCAACCTGATCACATAATCCCTTACTGTTTTTCTTCTCCTAAGTGGAACCTCGGTTTTCCAATGCCCGTTTTCAAATTTTTCAGTTCTCAAGCTCAATTTCTTTAAAAAATTTGACTTTAGGTTAGCATTGGTGCTCGAGTTTGTTGATACACATATGGGCCAACCGAGCACGTGGTGCGCTTCAGTTTACAAGTGACTCCCACCTAGTGACAACCGCGCTTGAATTCTTTGTGAAGAATTTCATTGTTTTTGTGCTTTTTTTTTTTTGTTTCTGAACATAAAAATTATTACAGCATATATCATGCCATGGGTTCCAAGAAAGTCAGTGGTAAAGTTCAACACAAAGAAAATAGTTGTGAGGATGACAATAGAGGAAAAACAAGAAATCATTCATAGTGAGACAATGTGATGTGTCACTACAGACAAGTGTTAAAATGACGGGAAAAACAAATGTCTATAGACAGATTCTTAGTAAGACAAGCAAGCAGTGAGCCACAAGCAGGTTCTAGTGGTATGCCTGCAAAACATAAGAGAGAGTACCCCAGAATTGTCATCACTGTTTTTATAATGGAAGGGGATTCCCCTTCCAAACACAAACATCTCTCCTCCTCCCCCCTTTCTCACTGTCTTCCATATGCCAACAAGAGTGCTCAATAAAGGTAAGATATACTTGTACATACTGTAGTACAAAATATTAGTAGTATGTATAAAATGTATTTTCAAGTTAATATTTTTGAGCGAAGAGAGAGCCGTTCACAGAGTACAGAGAAGGGTTACAATTGAAAGGTTAAGGGTGATAACAAAAGGGACATTGAGGGTTATTACATGTGGAACAGATCAATTCAATTTACATTATTTCTTATGGGAAAATTTGTTTCGGTTTTCCAATTTTTGGTTTTTGAACGGTCTTGGGGAATGGATTAAATTTGAAAACAGAGGTACCACTTTATGGCTAAACTACAGCTTTAGTTAGTCCACAGATTTAGTTACAATGTAATTTTCAAATGAATATTGATAAATATGAACTAAGCATGCTTTTTTCCTATTTAGAAATGTTATAAAGAATTTTACAAATAGATCAACAAAAATGCCAAAAATACAAAAATGCTTGTCCAAGAAATCTTTTGACAATCATTGAACTCTCTAACAAAGCTCTTAACAACCGCTTAACAGGTCCGGGGCCTCATAACAGGTCTCGAGGCCCGGGGACTCGTAATTCTGTGGCGCGGGTTCGATTCCCGCACCAGGCAGAAACAAATGGGCAAAGTTTCTTTCACCCTGAATGCCCCTGTTACCTAGTAGTAAATAGGTACCTGGGAGTTAGTCAGCTGTCATGGGCTGCTTCCTGGGGTGTGTGTGTGTGTGTGGTGTGCAAAAAAAAAGTAGTTAGTAAACAGTTGATTGACAGTTGAGAGGTGGGCCGAAAGAGCAAAGCTCAACCCCCCCGCAAACACAACTAGGTGAACACACACACATAGGGCATTTCACTACACTATGCTGTATTTCTGGGAAGCTTCCCTTGGCTTCCTCGCTATAGCTCCCTCTTCAGATGGTCCCACAGACACCGTAAAAACAAAAACAATAAAAAGGAGTGGACTAGACAGTTTTCATACTTAACACTTGAAACAGCAGAGAGATTTTGCAACTCCAAAAACAGGGCAGCAAACCAGAAGGAAAATATTATAGACCAATAGCATTAACATCAAACAATAATTTTGTTTAAAAGGGTTAAGTAATAAAATCACAAAACACATGGAGTCACAATGTTTATATAATTCTACGACAGGTTTACTGCAGGAAACTCCTGCTTCTCATAATTGTTAGACTCCTATGATATGGTCTCAGATGCCATCAATGGAAAACCAACAAAATGTTGATATAATATACAGCACACAGATGTTATGAAAGCTTTCAACATGTGTGACCATGGTGTAATTACACACAAGTTTGATAAACATCAAAGGGTACCCGATCACCTGATTTCGGGTTCCTATGCTAGGTGGCATACAAAGGAGTCTAACAACCTGGTTGACCAGACTGTCATCCAGGAGGCCTGGCCACAAGGACATTGATGCATAGAACCACCTCAAAGCAACCTGAAGACACCAGTAGCAGATGCATCCTGAAAGATATAACCTGGACAGGCCAGGTAAGCTGGCTTTAGAGACCCATCACACAGCCCAGTACCACACACACTTACAATGAGGTTAAGCAACTGTCTGAAGATACTGGGCTCCCAACATCCAATTTGACTGCTATGTCTGGGATGGGTTATTTGTTTTTAGCCACATTATGGCGACTTATTTTCTTCATCATCTCCAGGGCCAGAGGACATTAAGCATGATTCCAATGAGGAACATGTATCTCCCAAACACTGCTACCTTTGAGCATACAGTACTCTAGGGAAGGAGACACCTAGAGCCTCAGAGATGAGTAGTAATTCCAACACAATATTAAGGGACTAATCTAGTTAAAAATATACATGCACCTGCAATAAGTGGAAGAACACCTTGGCAATCTTAATAAGCATCACTGAAGCAAGGTGCAACCAAAAAAACGAGGAGCACTGCCAAAGCTGGAATAAATAACTAAGAGAGGAAGGCCATCGCAAAACCGAAACAAAAGACTTTGTAGAACCCTTAAAAGATGAGACTAACCAAGTTATAAATGATGATAAGACAGCCAACACTCTGAATGAATAGTTTACATCAGTGTTCACACTAAAGAGTTTAGACAACATCCCAGTACCTACACCCATGCTTTTAGCAGGTGAAGAAAATGAAATAAGGAATGTCACCATAACATGTGATATAAAGATAAAAAAAAGGGCAGAAAGAGCTCTGCAGAAAACTACAGTCCGATAAGTTTGACCTCATGCATCTGCAAGCTCATGGAGAGAATCCTAAGGAAGGGGGAATTATCCACCATCTCATCGTGAACAATCTAATTAAATCAATGAAACAGTTTTGTTAAAAATAAATCCTCCCTTACAAACTTGTGCATACTTTTGGAAATGGTAACTAGCTTCTCAGACAAAAGACTTCCAGTAGACATAATACCAACTACATGGAGTTTGCTAAAGCTTTTGATAAGGTACCATATGAAAAATTGGCAAGTACAAGTACACGTGATAAATAGAAGAATACTAGAATGGATAAACCAATGATTTAGGCAAAGATAAAGAAAGGGTCGTCCTAAATGCAAATGAATCTGACTGGAGAAATGTGGTGAGCAAGGTGCTGCAAGATTCCATTTTGGGGCCCACCCTTTGTTATATACATCAGTGAAAGGTGAGAATATTATAAACCACATCATCAAATTTGCAGACGACACCAAGATTTATGGTACAGTAAATAATGAAACTTATATTCAGGCCTTACAAAGAGTCCTGAATATATAAATGGTCAGAAGAACATGAACTCATGAACATGAACTTTACATGAACTATAAATGGTCAGAAGATTGGTTGATGCTTTTTAATATTGAAAAATGCAAGACCTTCCATGTGGGGGCATAACAATGGACATCACAACTATCAAATCAACAATATTACCTTGCAGTCGACTGATGAAGAAAAAGACCAATATATCAGAATCCATCATTCACTGAAAGTTTCATATGAATAATCAGACAACTTTTATTTCAGGGGAAAAAAAGGTACTTATTCAATGGTATAAATCTCTTGTGTCCTCCAACTTGGATTATTGTATCCAAGCATAGAGACCTCATCTTCAGAAACACACATTTTCTTAGGAGAAAGTCCAGCAGCTGGTGACAAAAATCATTCCAGAACTAAGTAGACTTCCATACAAGGAATGGTTGAGGGCCGCAGGACTAACACTGCAAATTAGACATGACAGAGCTGATCTCACAAGCTTCTAAAATATTGAACAACTTGGAGGATACTGATACAGACCATTTCTTCAAAAGATCAGATGTGACTCAAACAAGGAGGAAAGGATTCAAGCTCAAGTCGCAATATAGGACAGTAAACGGGAGATGCTTCATCACCCATAGGGTTATAAACCAATGGAGCCATCTACCCACCAAAGAACATCAGGACAAATGGGGGGGCTTTTTTCAAGATGCTGGCTTCCTGATCTTGTCAAGGCCTTGTCAAGGTCAGAGATATAGTGACCATCGGTAAATTCAGGCAACAGCCCTGACAAAAGCAAAAATATGGCAGAAAGCCTTCCACACCACCTCAAACATTGGCCTCGGTGAAACCTGAAAGTCAAAATCTGGAAGGTTCACCACCTGTCTCCCATACTTGATGGTATACATACTTAGAAACTTCATGCATGAAAATTGCCAGTCAAAAATTGTAAAACAAGACTGACATGGCCCCAAAAGTATTCCCACTAACTTGAACAATGTCAGGAGAAGAACTGGAGCAAAATGAAAGAGTGACACACTGCTACTGTTTCCAATCCAAGAGACAAGTATCCACTGTCAAGCCTAATCTGGAAACAGAGCTACATAAACCAAACGGTGCCTATTCCATGCCAAGATACACAGATTCACTTCCAGGAACCCAAACATTTAATTTATTCTAAATTGGCCAAAAGCAGGAAAGATCCTCCATCCGAGATGCACCTAAAGTAGATACCCTCGAGGACTAAAAATTTGAGAAGCCAGATATAACGCTATCTTTTCAGAAGTGTAAATTCTTAAGAGCAGGTGCTATAAACAGGTAAAATGCAAACATCTGATTTGTTTTAGATAAATAACATTAAATAACTAACACAAGTTGCCCCATTCCTAATTTGTTCTATGAAGTTAGCTACACTTTCATGGATTTTCTTGAGAATTAATTTGGGCAAGATTAGTAGCTTTTCTAAAATGCTCTTTACCTAAACTAACAAACCTTATCTAATGTGTTCAAAAAGTTCAAGAAAACATGGCTAGCAGGAATGAGCACACCAGCAACAGGGCATCTCATGGTAATACAGTACAAGTATTGCTCCATTTGGAAATACTGTACCAAAATAATTGATCATGTGTGAATTTTTTTTCATATTTTGGATGTTGCTGTTACATGTATATGCATAATTGAACTGGACCATATCAAAGAAAATGCAATGCTATCTCATGAGAAATTTGACATTCATCTACTACATATAATAACATCTAACCTGAAGAGTGTGGATAACAACCCAATATGCCCTATACTATTTGCATACAAAACCATGGACTGGGGTCTAAGAATTGACAAAAATTATTCTCGGCTACACCATCACTACCCTTAAAGCAAAAAAACTAAGCCTGACCTAACAAAATAATTATAACGTGGTTTATATACTGTGAGTACAAGATGCAACAATACTGCAACATCACATATTTTTCTGAGGCAGTATTCAGATGCTCGAGGGGCCCATCAATAGTGTTATTTAGATACAGGATAAAACAATTGTCAGTGTGCTACTTGTGCAATGTCAGTTACATTTTCTTAGTAAATGCAAAAGCTTAATCCAAATTCTGCAGAACATGGGCTGTTATCCAAATAGTACAGCACTCTATGGGGCCTGTATACATATCCTATTCACAATCAGTAGGTTAGGTTGGGGTTCACTCCATAATGCAGCCAATTCTCAAATTACAACTGAAGCAACATTAGGCATTCTCAGATATTCAAATTAAAAATTATTTGTTTACATGCTTGGACCTTTTTTTACTTGTATATACAGGTGCTAGTAATCAGTAATGAACCAACAGTTTATTACCCATTTAGAAACAACAATGCATATATAATTTACACACCATCCCACACAGCTGTTGAGACAGATGTGAACATTAATATTTATTATGTATAATATAGTGTAGGATGGCATTCTCCTTCAAAATTTGCCCCACTTTTCTGTTAGGTTGTTCTAGATAAAGTTTAAGTTAGACTAAATACAGTATAGCTTAGCTTATCATGGGAATCTAATAATAATAATATTTTAAAGTCAATAATAACATAGCTGTTTGGGCATCTGTGAGACCGGGTATAGTTTTGACTGGGCATAGGTTAATTTAGGCAATGAGAGTAATTAAAAGGGGGGGGGTAGAAATGACTAGTAGGCCTAAGAATTGGCTTCATAATAGTTGTGGATGAGTAGAACAATGTAGAAGCATCAGATATGTAGAGTATTATCTGGAAATAGGATGCACAATAATTACCACAGGGCACTAGACAGTATGGTTGGTTTTACATCAACATGGTATGGACAGATACAGAGGTGAAAATGATTGGGAATAACCAGGATTTGTTCACATGGGCCAGTGAACAATGATGTATGTTGAACATCCACAGGTGTTTGAAGCCATTTTGTTCTTAATGGAATTATGGCTTCACTGGAATATATATTTTTATAATTACTCTTGCAATTAATATATATACTTTATTTTGATTCAATTACCTCTAGGTCTGGAACTACAATATTTAATAATTAGAGGTGTATTTGTTGTATTATTACTGGCCAAGGATGACAACAAAATGCATTTTCATGATAAGTTTCCAAACTACTTTCTTTAATGAAAACTACTTGTACAGCTTAGCTGTTGTGTAGTTGTATAGAACCCTTAAGAATGTGGCATAAACTCGCTCTGACTCAGCTATAACTTGACCGTAAGGACAGGTTTGGAAAATAAATTATAGTAATAACCGTGTTAGGATAGTGTGAGGTCGAGTGTGAGAGTGACTGAGCGGCTGCATGAGGGATAGTAGCATATTGCTGGCATTGAGGGCGAGGAAGGCAGGCTGGCGGAGGTCAGGCTGGTGGAGGGCAGCCTGTGGAGGGCAGCCGGTGGAGCCTACTGTTGAGGAGTACATGGTAACACTTGCTCCACGTCAATACAGAACCCGCGGGGGAAACCTCTCGCCACCTTCCACTAGCGACAAGCTGGCCACACGGGCCTTACAACTCTACCCAAACACGCCCGCCAGTAGAAGATATCGCCAAGTTTAATATTTGAACCTTAAGGTAAAAATCGGGCTGTGTGAACAAAGGAAAATTTGATAAGATTGCATATCATCCCCAGGTGAGATAGCCTGCCATCTTGGTCATCGGAGCCTGGCAACCCATGATCCAGGAGTTTTGGGCCGGCTACGGCAGAGATCCCGCATAGTAGGGACTACATAGCATGGAATAATGCAACATGACACGTACTTGGCTGACCCGGTTGCGGGTTATCCTCTCCACCTTCTCTATCAGCCATTTTACAGAGCTATCACTCGTTCACTGTAGACACACAATCCAAAACTCAACTCTGTATTCCTCCGCCGACCGCATAATAAATTGTCTAGACGATATAATGCGTTTAAGAAACTAGTTCTTTCAGCTGACACCACATATTTTGTACACTTTGCCTCGCGTTTGTGCTAATTTCGGTGTGCTCGATTAAATATATTGGCTTTTTGTTCGTTTGTTTTCAGGGTTTATTAAGGTGATAGTGCAGTGAAGAATTTTTTCCGTGGGGGAAATGTGTGACGTCATCTGGCGACATAAACAAATTCCCACGTGGTCAGGCTGACCTGTAGTGACCACGTGACCCGTGTTTTGTGCCATTCCCGCCACTTATCACACCTTCACTCAACATCCTTCCTACTCCAAACTTCTCAAACCTCTATGAACATCTTTTAACGCTGAAATAATAATATGTTGGCCAACATTTCCAAACGTTTGTGGTTTGGCTGTCACATACGAGTCAACATGTAGGCACCAACGTAGAGAACTTGTCCGGCATAATATCAATGCTTGCACTGAACGGATCATGTGATTAAGTGTGTGAGGGCGACGAAGAGGCCGTGGCGTGCACACTGACGCTCGTCTGCGCTCCTGCGTACGCCAAGGGCATTGTTCATTCACACACAACTACTTTTAGTAGCTGTGGTTCAGTAAACGTTGCGGGGAAGAGGCGGTGGGTGACGCGGGGAGGGATATGCCTCGCCCTCCACCACTACACTATAGGCCATGATAACCTAACCTTTATCATACAAACATAATATCCACCCGCAGGAGAAACGTAGCCTATCTCATAATTGAAGGTTTAAGCTATGATGATGTTTGATTTGTAATCATTTTAGAGCAAATGATGGAAATAGTTATTGAATTGAAATTGAAATACGTTCATTGAGGTATAAATATACATGAAGTGATGAGGTAACTCAAGCTATTCTCATCCCGTTCAGTACGTGTTCATATATATATATATATATATATATATATATATATATATATATATATATATATATATATATATATATATATATATATATATATATATATATACACGCACACAGATCACAAACAATAAGCATATTACCGAACATTCCGAGTGATAAACATATACATTTCTTCCTTTACACATGCAATATGTTACCCGACATACACACAAATATTTGTATGACTAGGTACACAGACCATTTGCAATAGACATTCAGACAATTCATCAAAGTTACAATTTTGCTGCAAAATTCTTATATATCTGCAGAATATCAACTTTTCGGTTGTGACACATCGTCTGCGTCACATGCCGATGTAGATCTAACTAAATGTAAACTATTTTAGTAAAACTGCCCGCATACTGCGTCACACTTTGATGGAATATGAACAAAATACAGAATTTAAAGATAAATCCTGCCCGAAACGCTTTGCTTAATAGTGGCTTTAGGCATTGTATGTACTAGTTCTCTCTATAAATTCATCAACATTTGTATCGCCCCTTGTATGTACTTTTTCTTTGGGGGGTATAAATAGCCTAAGCTACTCTATCCCTTTGAGATGTATTTTTTCTTGTCTCAATAAACATACTTGAACTTGAACTTGAACCTGAATAAACATTTGATTTTTTTTTTGAATACGTCTATCATACATGTTCAAGATATCCCTGAGTATTTAATTAAAAATCATGTTAACATAAATCTTATCCAAGCATGAACAGGACAAAGTAGTGTATACAAACGTTAGTGTATCAAATCAAAACAGCTTCAAGCTCAACAAGCCACAATGACAACCCATCCTTCTCTTTTGATAGTACCTATTGTGACAGGAAATGTGTATGTTTATCTCTCAGAATGTTTGGTAATATGTTTATTGCTTGTGATGTGTGTCTATGTATGTATTAACACGATGTACTGAATGGGGTGAGAATAGCTTGAGCTACCTCATCCCTCTGTGTGTATTTTACCTCAATAAACTTATTTCAATTTCAATTTCAACCTATTGTGACAGTCGTCATGATTTCGTACGTACTTAGCTTTTAGACAGTAGTATACTAACTAGTAAGGAATTCTTTTAAATAAATGAAGCTAAAAAACAAATAAATATTCCTAGCCTAGTATAGCACACATATGTACTATATTAGGCCTTGGAAGGTTAGGCTAGGTTAGTTTAGTCTGTCAAAGCAACACAAGTAAAAGGTAGTTTTCCGGTTTGTCCAACTCAATAGTTCACATTTCTGCTTTCTAATGTCGTTGTACGTCGGTATATATACAGTGGTCATCATCGTTACTATACAGACACGGGAGACATCTCCCGTCACGTAGGGTGCAGTCGCACCTCCACAGATCTACCAGCTCTTGATACTGGTAATGGCTCAAAAGGGCCACCACTTACGGGCTATTCATGCCCGTGCCACCTTTTGGGTGGCTTAATCTTCATCAATCAATCAATCGTTACTATAAGGTAACGTTACATCGTTACTATATAAACAGGAGGATGGGTTGCAATATAGGGTTGAAAACAGGAGATGCTTTTTCGCACACAGGGTTATAAACCCATGGAACTGCCTACCCGCCGAAGCCGTAAATGCCAAAAAAACTCCGCCGAACTTTAAAAATCCAGCTTGAAAAATCATCAGGACAAATTGAGGGAGCTTAGACAAGCCGCCAGCTTCCTGTCCTCGCCGAGGACAGAAGGACTATAGTATTAATGACCCTCAGATAAATTCAGGCAAATTCGGGTAAATTAAACCCAAAACTATATGGTAGCTAGTACATAATTGGGAAAGTTTACATAAAAAGTAGAGTACATTAATTAACAGTCACAATAAGCTGGATGGGTGCGGGGTGTATGATTAGCAAATTAAAATAATATTTACCGAGTTCGCCACATATATAAATAGCTTGGCATAAAGAAGATTGGGGTTCAAGTACTGAATCCATTATATATGACTATAACCTGTCTCATTCCTACAGGAGGCACATGGGGTCATTAATAAACTAATTATATCGACATTACAAATAACATTTTCAGTGTCAGAGCTCTGACCAAGAAATTAAATGAGCAACAATGAATTTGTGGAGGTAAACTCCATATACAGCTTCAAAAAAGAAATGCCAGTCCAGTTAAGTTTGGGAAGCTGCAGTACACCAATTCAGTAAAATATTTCCTGGAAATAGCGCTGAGGATCTCCGAAACAGCGTTGTGGATCTCCGAAACAGCGCTGAGGATCTCCGAAACAGCGCTGTGGATCTCCGAAACAGCGCTGTGGATCGCTGAAACGCGCTGTAGATCTCCGAAACAGTGCTGAGAATCTCCGAAACAGCGCTGTGGATCGCTGAAACGCTCTGTGGATCTCTGAAACGCGCTGCGGATCGCCGAAACGCGCTGCGGATCGCTGAAACAGCGCTGTGGATCGCTGGAAACAGCGCTGTGGATCGCTGAAACAGCGCTATGGATCGCTGAAACAGCGCTATGGATCGCTGAAACAGCGTTGTGGATCGCTGAAACGCGCTACGCATCGCCGAAACGCGCTGCGGATCGCTGAAACGCGCTGCGGATCGCCGAAACGCGCTGCGCATCGCCGAAACGCGCTGCGGATCGCTGAAACAGCACTGCGGATTGATTTGGAGTTGTACCACCAGTAACAAAATCATAGCATAAGCAATAGTAATGAAGGAGTGCAAGGAGCACACAGCGCTGTAATCATACTCAGCAGTGGATGTTTGACACTGATGTTTGCAATTATCTGTACACCTTATATTTAACTACTGAACAATGATATCCAGTAAGAAAGCACTGCTGGTTCTATAACGTGGTGAATCTTTTCATAATGACGAACTCGGTCTCAAACTATGTATGAGAAGGTAACATTACACACCCAGCGTTGCTAGGGCGAAGAAAGGAACATATTGACAACAAACTTCCTTCATCACTGTGAAGGAAGTTTAATCTTGAAGTTTGATCTCCATCTTCACAACAAACTTCCTCCATTATTGTAGACATCTTCACTCCGCGGTTGTTCAACGTCCTCCCAGCGAGCATAAGAAATATTGCCGGAACAACCGTGGACATCTTCAAGAGGAAACTGGACTGTTTTCTTCAAGGAGTGGCGGACCAACCAGGCTGTGGTGGGTATGTGGGCCTGCGGGCCGCTCCAAGCAACAGCCTGGTGGACCAAACTCTCACAAGTCGAGCCTGGCCTCGGGCCGGGCTTGGGGAGTAGAACAACTCCCAGAACCCCATCAACCAGGTATTAACTCCCAGAACCCCAGCAAGCAGGTATTAACTCCCAGAACCCCAGCAAGCAGGTATTAACTCCCAGAACCCCAGCAAGCAGGTATTAACTCCCAGAACCCCAGCAAGCAGGTATTAACTCCCAGAACCCCAGCAAGCAGATATTAACTCCCAGAACCTCAGCAAGCAGATATTAACTCCCAGAACCCCAGCAAGCAGATATTAACTCCCAGAACCCCAGCAAGCAGATATTAACTCCCAGAACCCCAGCAAGCAGGTATTAACTCCCAGAACCCCAGCAAGCAGGTAGTAACTCCCAGAACCCCAGCAAGCAGGTAGTAACTCCCAGAACCCCAGCAAGCAGATATTAACTCCCAGAACCCCAGCAAGCAGGTATTAACTCCCAGAACCCCAGCAAGCAGATATTAACTCCCAGAACCCCAGCAAGCAGATATTAACTCCCAGAACCCCAGCAAGCAGATATTAACTCCCAGAACCTCAGCAAGCAGATATTAACTCCCAGAACCCCAGCAAGCAGATATTAACTCCCAGAACCCCAGCAAGCAGGTATTAACTCCCAGAACCCCAGCAAGCAGGTATTAACTCCCAGAACCCCAGCAAGCAGGTATTAACTCCCAGAACCCCAGCAAGCAGGTATTAACTCCCAGAACCCCAGCAAGCAGGTATTAACTCCCAGAACCCCAGCAAGCAGATATTAACTCTCAGAACCTCAGCAAGCAGATATTAACTCCCAGAACCCCAGCAAGCAGATATTAACTCCCAGAACCCCAGCAAGCAGATATTAACTCCCAGAACCCCAGCAAGCAGGTATTAACTCCCCGAACCCCAGCAAGCAGGTAGTAACTCCCAGAACCCCAGCAAGCAGGTATTAACTCCCAGAACCCCAGCAAGCAGATATTAACTCCCAGAACCCCAGCAAGCAGATATTAACTCCCAGAACCCCAGCAAGCAGATATTAACTCCCAGAACCCCAGCAAGCAGGTATTAACTCCCAGAACCTCAGCAAGCAGATATTAACTCCCAGAACCTCAGCA